TCCTGGCGGCTTGACACTGCTGTGACTAGACAATACCACTCTTTTGCTGATGCCATGGAAACACCAAGCCAGTGGACTGCACTGTGAGCCCAGGCTACATTCAGGGGGAAAAGGGAGAAAGCGGGAAGAAATCTTAAAGGTGGCACAGGAAAGAAAAAAAAAAAAAAAAAAGCAGCAATACACCCAATGGCCATGATCCCTTTTTTAACAGAGCTTGATCTAAACAGAACTGGCAGCATATATAGTTAATGTTAATTCTAAAATACCAAGGAGGGGAAGAGAAGGAAAAAAAAATGAAAGAGAAATAACTGAGCAAGCCAGAGTGAAAAAGAAAGAAAAAAAATAATTCAGTGTGAAAGAGTTACAAGGGAAGCAGAAAACTATGCAGCGCTGGGAAAGGTAGGCAGCATGAAGTTTGTCCTGTTTACTGTTTAATGTCTAAATCTGCTCTTGAGCCAGCAGATAAAGAGCTGAATGCTGCAGGCTGTCAAAGGCTCAAGAAACAAAGCGATTCAGGGAATGCCAGGGCACTTGGAGTTTCCTGAGTTTCCTTCCCTCCCCCAGAGCTCACTCCTGTTTTCCAAGGAGTGCCTCTTGATTTATCAGCTTCATGCAATCCAGATTTAACAAGTTTGAACTGGATCTTACTACAAAGAAAAAAAAAAAAAAAAAAAAAGAAGGCTAAGTCTTGTTTTGCAATCCTGGGTATTTTCAACAACAGTAAACTAATGTACTCTTTCCTGTTTGCTCCGCGTACTGAATCAGAGCTATAAATACAGACAAGTCCAGTGCAGTGAGCACCCCTGAGCCTCCCCAGCACACACCAAGCTGCACAAAACAGCTATGACTTCACTTCTCCCACCCCCAGTTGCTGGGCTGAGACACCTAGTCCAACCATTAGTCATGAGAGGCAGCTGCTCTGTACTTTGTGCTTGCTTAGGATAAGCAAAGCAAATACCTGATGAAATAGGTTTTTCCACTAAAAAAAAAAAAATTATCACAGTCCATCCTGAGAGGCTACTTTCAACAAGCCATCTGGGGAAATAACATGGAATAGTATTTAAGAGACACAGGGCTAAAATTAGCTTGACATTCAAGTGTCTACCTCGCTGCCCCTCTGTCCTGGGCTAGTTCCAGCCCTTGGCTAGACCCTACCAGCAGCTGTCAGCCGCACTAATTGCCATACACGGTGTATCTGCTGAGTAATCAGGCTCACTGGCCTCTTGCAAGGACAAAGTCTGGGTCAAGTCCCAGTTCCAAGAAAGCAGATAAAAGCCTTCAGGTTGCCATACCTTGATCTTCATCTCCAGACAGAAACTCAAGGATGGTATTCATGGCTCCCATGTAGAAGATGAGCCGCAGCTGAGTGACACACATGGTGATAAGGCTTAGCAACAAGATAGGACTGAAGACACTCTTCATGAAGGAGGGAGAAGCTGCAGAAGGAATAACAGAGTCCCTGAAGAAGGCAACATACCTTTGTAAACATGTACAATTTCAGAAGAGGCTTTCGCCTCTGGGCTAGCAGGTCTTCTCCTAGCTAGTCATTCCAACACTGTGTGCCAGTGGCAGCTCCAAGGAGTTCAGTTAGCAACTACCTGGTGCCTTACAAACTTCCATAATGAAGAGCTATAGACGCTTGGAGTTTGGCTACCATGAACTGGGGCAAGAGAGCAGGAAGGCAGACTCACCTAATTCTGTGGATCAGAGCAAAAGGAAGCTTCAAACTATTTGCTTTTGCCATACCCCTGAGTAAGGAAGGCTTGGTCATAATGGCAACAGTCTACCTAAGAGGCAGTGACCAACTGCACTATCCTTCTGCAGCCATACCAGTTACCCATGCTGTTGTCCCCACCACTAGCAACACCATATGGTGTATTTAGGTGAGTATACAAGGACAGGATTCCTTATATAACTGAACTTGTATTTAAATAATGGTGGCTGGCACGTGGCCCTAGCACCACATGGATTACGCATCACTATCTTTATAAACAGGTCTAGAGCAGAGAGGCTGACAGCCTTGTGCCAGCACAAGCATCCCTGGGGCACTCATGGAACCACACCTGCGTTGTCAGGCTGGCACTTCACTTCTAAGTCCACCGTAGACAGACAGAGCTTGTTGTTCTCTTGCAAGGCTGTCGGCTCCTTGGGGCCCTTCATGGAGCTCCCCACACTGAGACGGCGCCCCACAGTTGTTACTTGCTTGTAAAACTGTTTCCCAGTGATTTTGTGGTCAAATCCCAGCCAGCTGAACTTTATTTTCACCCTGTTGGGTAGTAAAGAGCATGACAGCTGCAACACAGGAGTGAGGAATCAGAGGCAGCAAAGTTGCAGGAGTCAGAAAGGCTATGTGTGGATTTAAGGCACTAGTTTCCATCTACAAACCCACAAATGGTCTGGATCCAGAGCACAGAGAGATCATAGAATGGTTTGTCTTACAAGGGTCCTTAAAGACCATCCAGTTCCAACACCTCTGCCATGGGCAGAGACACCTTCCACTAGACCAGGATGCTCCAAATCTCAAGGCCAGGTTGGATGGGACACTTCCCCTGGGCCAATTTGGCATAGGTCAATATAGAAACACTTATGACCACTGCAGATCATTTTTCCTTCATAATTCCTATGCTTTGGAAAGTTCCACTTTCCACAGATATCCACCAGTCAAGATGTAACGCTAATGGCAGACATAAATCCTCAACCTAAGAAGAAGGAGCAGCAATAAACAACATGCAAGGGAGTTGCCTGTCCACTCCTCTAAATTAGTTGTGCCATCACTTTGTAGAGGATTAAGAATGGCATTAGCCCTCAAGGCCAGTCTAGAGGACACTTACGAATAGTCCATGTCTTCTGGTCCTGGGAAAGGCTCCAGTGGCCAGTTGAAGAAACAGTTGAGGAAAACTAGTCCTGCACAGCATGCCCAGACAAGCAGAATAAGGATGAAGGAGACCCCAAAGTCATATATAACCTAGAAATCACAAGGAAACATGGTTTTGGCTATAAGGGCAGAAAGATACTGCAATATTCTTTGAATGAGGTCAGAGAGGAAGCTGTGGGAAACAACACGCTACATTTAAAATGGGTTTAACTCAAATGGTAACAAAACCACAGTTTTGTGACATGCAGGCTTCAAAAGAAATGTATATGCACATCCTTAATAGCAGCTATAGCAACAACAACAGGACCTCCAGCTGGAATAGCATGTATCGCAGATAACTGCCATCAAAGGTTTTCATCAAGGACCTTCTCCTTGGAAAGCCAGCAGGAACTTCCCTGCACACTTGAGACTACTTACTTTTACTATATCCCCCTTATGCTAACTCTGCAATGAAACACCCCTGGTTCAGAACCACTGGTGGTTTACCAAGGCAGCCCAAGTGACCATCTCTTCTGTTCCTTCAGTGCTGTTTGCTAGCTCTGAACTATGTTCAAAGCCAACCATCAGTGACAATCACACAGACCAAACATATACATGTATTAAAAAATACATAAATATATACTCTCAGATTAAAAAAAAAGATCTTCAGTTTTTCACTTTTACTTAGCACCTTTAAAATTTTACCATCTATTAGCAAACAGACCGTTCTCGTTGCAGTATTTGTTGCATTCTTGAGGCAGTCACTTGGGAAGTCTTTAAGACAGACAGGAACTGAATCTTGCAAATGCACATCTCTACAAAGTGTTTTAACAAATAGTCCCTTTTTCTTGCCACATTATTGCTAAATCGTGGAAGACTCCAGCACAACACAACCAGTCATGAGTCATGATCCCACGGCCTCACCTTGATTCCTGGAAAAGTCACAGCAGAGGAAGCATAGGAGCCAATCATCAGAGCAATGAACGTGGAACGAAGGTCACCAAACATGTTGGGGAGCTGGGAAAAGAAAAGAAAAAACACATCAGTTGAAACAGGCTGCTGCCAAGGGAAGGGAAGAAAAGGGAAGGAGGCTTTCTTGAGAAGATGTTGGCGTTTAGGATTAAGCCTCCTGGATACCAGAATATGACACAGCCAGTTTTAGTCAATAATGACTTCGCTCTTCAGGATATTGCTCTGCAGGTTGTATTGGTGTCTCCAGTGTCAGGGAACATCTACAATCCAAGATTTATGTGCTTAATGACATTGCTTCTTTCCAGACCGACAGCATACTTTGCATTGGTTACCTTTAGCACAGGAGCGTGTGCTCCAGCCCTTGTGCTTTCTTTAAGAGTTCCTTACCCCAAGTCTGTAGCCACTGCCTCTTTTCCTCTCCAAAAACATATGTGCCCAAGTTCTCTACGTATCACCCTCTTTTTAGTCAAGAGTTGTTAGACACAGGCTGCAATTGCTGCACAGTCTTTAACACACCCTGCAACACCTTGAACTGCCAGGTTTGTTTATGCACCTTGGGTCAGCACCCAAATCTTTGCAGTAGACCAGAAAGTTCCTGTTATAACAAGAAGGAACAGAGACAAACGTGAACTGTGTTGCTGTTTGCATTTCCATTTCTAGCTAGGTCCCTGGCTCCTTCTCTGAAAGGAGGCTCTTTCTACAAGAGGAGATAAAGCTGGTCATTTCTGCATCGGTTGGATGGCTCAGATGCCCAAGCACACTCTCGTGGAGCTAGGTGCAGGAAGGCAATCACAAACACTAGATATCCAAGGCTTTATTGCCCAGTGCAGCTATGAAGCTGCTGAACTCTGCAGCACGCAGATAATAGCACCTCACGTTGATATTCCTGCCACCCGCCCCACTTTGCTGCCTGGGCTCCTATCAGGTGTGATGGCATTGCCAAGAGCAGACCAGGCTGGTTCTGCAAGGATCTGTTGGGAAAGCAAAGCTCTCAGTAGGGACAGCTAGAAACAGCTCACAGCAGCCACTTCTGCCACCTCAACAGCAAAGGCACTCCCAGGCTGGCCCTCCAGTCCCCCTTCCACTCAGGACCCAAAAGCAGAGTGGAGCAGGCAGAAAGAGCCGTGAGACCTTCCCACTCTCCTGGGAAAGGAGGAACTCCCGATTTTTCTAAGCAACCAGAAGTGAACAAGTTTCCAGCTAACTAACGATGGCTTGCAAAGTAGAAATTACAGGGAGAAGCTTTGAAGTCGTAGGCTACAGAGAGCTCGGCTGATACCTCCTGCAGCTGGTCAACGGGCAGAGATCGTGCTGCAGGCAGATGGATTTCCCCTCCCACCTCCTTTTTCAGGCCACTTACTCCCCAAATTCACTTGGGCATCATTACCATATCAGCCTCAGAGGGCCTCAAAGCAGCACGCTGCGGGTGCCTTCTAGGACTGAAGGCATAACCAGCATTTTATCTCTTTAAAGATGCTGCTGAAAAAAAAAAAAAAATGATTCAGAGAATATTAGACCGAATCTGAGCAAGGAAATGCTGTCATCACATTCCCCCTTCCACTGCTGAAAAACAAATCCATCTTTCCCAGGAGTAGCATATAAGGCAAGTGAATCTGGCTTGTGTCACGGCAGGACCAGCGTGTTTACCACACGAGTATTCCTGTGCAGGAACACTCTAGGATCCATCTGGCTGTTTATCATCCCTCTGTCTCACTGCAGAGCTTCCTATGCAGCGCAGTCTCCAGGTCCTCAGATAACCCCAGCCAGGGAACAGCAGCAATGATGTGCCGAGCCTGATGCTGCTGGTGAACCCCGAGCAGACGCACACGGCGGAGGCAGTAAAAGCTGCACTCCTCTGCAGAGAGGATCCCCACACCCATCCCCAGATCCCCGCATGAGGGAGAGCTGCCAACAGGCTGCTTTCAGGAGCTGCAGACGGGAAACGGCGAAGGATCCAAAGGTCTGTTACCAGGCACCAAAAAAAAAAAAAATAATAATAAAAAAATCTCTTCTTGGAAGCAGTGGCTTAAATACACACCCCACAAAACAGCATCTGCAGAATACAGTATCTGCAGGCTGCAAAAAGGCTAGTCACTGTCACCAGGCAGGGCATTCATTTAATCTCAAATACTCCAAACCTAAAATAATCTCCAGAAATTATAACAAACAGCTGCTCCTGCTGGGGAGTTCAGAACAGGGCAAGAGCTCCACAAACACAGCTGCTCCTTGGCTCAGGCTGGTTTTCCCCAGAGGTCACAAAAAAGCCTTTTTCATACAGCAGAGAAGCAACTCCCAGGTGGATTCGCCTGCTCCGGCGGCTACCGGAGACATCCAGCAGGTCTAAGAGCAAGCAGTCCTGTCTGGGAAAACCCAAGTCTGCTTCTGCCTCAATGGGGACAGAAGTCCTAGAAAGGCTAGAGATTTCCTAAAATCCTATTTGACACCAAGCAAGTAGCTAGATTAAAAAAAAAAAAAAATTGGACATAAGAGATTTAAGGTCTTGTCCAACCTAATCAAAGCAGAAACTGCAAACACTGAGCACTTGGGAGGAAAACAAATCTGAGACTACCTGGAGGGGCAGAGGGGAGGCAAAGGGAAAAAGTAGTCCATACCCAGACAGAAAACCTCTCAGACCGCGAGTGCCAGCACTGGCAATGCTTGTACAGGTCTCATCTAAAAAAACAGCTACTAAAATAACCCACAATATTCACTAAGCCATTTTTCATGCTGTCTTTATAGCAGCAAGCATTGGAGGGTCTGTTTTTTATACGGCAAGCTTTGGGGGGAAAAAAAAAAAAATGAACCAGAGAAAAAAAAAAAAACCAAGCCACAGAGCAAGTGGGTTGTTTATTTTTCTGCCACCGAAAAGACCTGATCCTCATTCTGATCTTATCCCTGCAGACCAGAAGAGACTCCTCCACTAACTTCTGCCCATTCTGGTATGACAACCCCAATTCTGCAAGTCCTACAATGACAAAACCTCTTATGCCTCCCGTTTAAAGGTCAGTAATACTCAATAAATTATTAGCTTTATGCCCTGTCTGAAAGATACTAACTTAATTTTGCCATACTGCCAACCCTATCCTGGGCTGCATCCCAAGCAGGGTGACCAGCAGGTCGAGGGAGGGGATTCTGCCCCTCTGCTCTGCTCAGGTGAGACCCCCCCGCAGTCCTGCCTTCAGCTCTGGGGTCCTCAGCACAAGAAGGACATGGAC